GGGTTTAGGGTTTAGGGCTCTTCGCAAACTTTGGCGAAAGGTATTTTCAGAACTACCACTCGGAAGTTCATGGTCTTTAAAACCCTCCCGCTCTGGACGGTCAAGCCCAAGATCACATGGAAACTTGGGGTTTACAGGGATTCAGGATTTAGTTCTCAGAGACCGTCAAACCTGTAGACACAGCCTGATTACAACCTCATTAGCAGACAACAGCTGGTGCTGTAAAAACGAATACGTCGCTACCCCCGGGCTACTTGGTATGGCTGACATGGTGGGGAGGCTTTCAATCAAGGGTTTGAGAAAAGACTGAAGGTTCAGGGTTTAGTCTTTAGAACGGTTAAGGCTAAGTGTCTAGGACCCTAGGATGGACGAATTAGGGGCTTTCAGATAGCTGTCAAGGCGTTCGGGGCGTGGCTTGTAAATAACAGACGGCGGTCTTGTTCTAACGAGATTTGGAAACTCGGAGAAACCTGAACCCTACACATTTCGGCTTCTTGCAGACTCTGCTGTAAGCACGCCACACAAGACTAGATGTTGGATTCTACGGACATAAAGGGAAGCCAAAGGAACCGAACCGGACTGAACAAGAAAAGGAAAAAGCAATGGACACTGGGTTCGTGCAAGGGCTAGATACTGTAGAAAAAAAGTTCTATGTACTGAAGAGGCCTGAATAAGTACCAACATCATGTCAAGGTCTATTTGAAGTACCTTATACCATACCATACTTGTACAAAGCGTGCTGGACCATCCTATTCTCAACACGTAATAGTGAACTTCACTCTCCCAACAACAGGTATTCCTATTTGCTTAAAACTGCAGAAAGTTAGAGAGTAGGCATCCAAGAAGCATAAAAGCTACCACAACTCTTGCAAACCCACCCAGCAAAAAGAGAGGTCCGAGGCCCGCGCAGGATCGAAAGTCACGTGTTGCTCGGTCGCCTCGCAAACAGTGGTCCATACATACAGGGTTTAGGGTTTAGGGTTTAGGGGGGTATAGTCCCCCTTCAGTAGATAGGATATGGGGTATATGGGGATCTTATTATAATATACCCAAAGCCATATTCTATCTACTTAAGGGGGACTATACAACCATAAGACACTCAGGGCCCTTAATTCCTTCTGTAGTATGGTTTTCTGAGGGGCCTTATTCCATAATTGCGATACATCCAAGCCCTTTGGGTGGTCAGTTTAGGATTAATTCAGGTGTACAGGTGAAGATCTTCCACAGACCTTGCTTCAAACAACAGGGAACAATATACACCGTACACTATATACCATTCAGAAGTATCTACCTTGTCCACAAGGAGCCAGTGCATGAAGGCTTGGGGTGGGATGGGCGCTCTCAAGCTTAAGAGCTTAGGCTGCCAAGCTTCCGCGCTCAATCCCCCAAAAAACTCAGGTCTTCATTACCCGGACCCCAAAAGTATGTAAAATAATAGCCTTAAACCCCTGATAATAGCAATAAAGGCCATAAGTTTACATACTTTTGGGGTTCAGGTAGGGGGTCAGGGTTGAGGGTTTCGCGATTAAGGTTCAGGAGTTCAGGCAGCCAGGGTTGAGGGTGCACAACCAGACCCGGCACCGGGTTTAGGGTTTAGTCCAATGGCCCCATACATTGGAACCTGAAGCCCGCAGTCGGGTTTTCGGGTTTAGGGCTTCATGTATCCTGTAGTCCCAGCTACATGCAGGAGGCCCCGGCAAGCCCAGAGAAGGCAGGTGTTAGTAAAAGACAAAGAAACGCTTGGAACTCAAGTTAAGAAGGAGCTCCTTACCCTGTACACCCTACACCCTGAATCCCCTAAACCCGAAATACCCTAAACTCTGAATCTTCCATAAGTCGTAACTGGCAAAATGCATTTGGATTAGTTGCGTCTCTAAGTTGGGGTCCCCCAACACCACCCACCCGAAACATAACAAGACCCTAGACCCTCAACCCTAAACCCCAAACCCTCAACCCCTATACCAAAAGGATGCCCTAACAAGGGTTTAGGGGTTTAGGCCCCGAATTTTTGGAGGATCCTTGCTGCCAGGAATTCCTGAAACCAACTTAAAGGTTCAGGGTGTAGGGTTGTATAGTCCCCCTTAAGTAGATAGAATATGGCCTTGGGTATACTATACTAAGATCCCTATATGCCCCATATTCTATCTACTTAAGGGGGACTATAGGGGTTTGAGAATTTCCTGTTTGGAAGCCAGCCTCCTCGGCCTCCTCTTCGCCCTGTCACTGTGGACTTATAGGGTTTAGGGTTCTGGGCTTAATAGAGAGTTCACATAAGGAGAGGTTTAATCGAGAGTTTCTGGGAATCATATAGGGGATATGTAGGGATGTAGGGTGTTGAGGGTTCAGAATATCGCAATAGTGAATGGAACATGGAAACTGGCTGAAAACCCGGGCGTGTCTTATAGGAATTGAAAAGAGGGGCCTTTTGGATTAGAACAAGGCTTTGAGGTATGTTACCCTAAACCCTAACCCTATACAACTTACTGGCTTGCTGGTTCTTGGTAGGGAACAATTGAATACAATCCCTATAAAATCCCTACATGATGTATTCCTTGATCCCCTACTAATCCCCAGTAAGCGGTGGAATGGTACTTGTAATTATTCGAGCTTCTACGTGATGCACACAATCAAGGATCTCATATGGGCAATTTCCGAAGCCGCTGAACTTTTTCTGCATATGGTGTAAGGCTTTGGAAGGCGTAACCTTTGCCAAAAAGCCTAGGCAAATAGATAGGTAAGGAAATCCCCAACTTCCAGAAGGTCACAAGGTAGGGATATTCCAGCTGAAAGCTTACACTTCTGTTCTACTTGTTCAGTTCCAAACACAAAGGTTTCTGAGGTCTGGGCCCAGAATGGAGTTTCTCGGAAAGATAAGTATGGGCAGGGTGTTGGGTCCTGATACTCAATACCACACCCAAGCAGAGCCGAAATCACTAGTAAGGTAATAGCTTAGGTGGACCCCCCACCCAGTAATAGTGACCATTATGGATAATAGGGATTGTATTAGGGTCCTCTCATATTCCTATTATACCACTATTACAGGGTGGGGGTCCTCCTAAGTAATAGCGATAGAAGTTTGCTTGAAAAGTCAAGAACATGTCTCAAAACAAACATGCAAAATCGTTGACGGTATACGGCCAAGATGGACTAACACAAAGAAAGCATGAAGGTGGCGAACCCTTTCCAAACACGTCCTAGAGATCTTGCAGGCTCCGGACCTTCTTCAGTCAGACCTATCCATGCACGTAACCTCTTGGTACACAGACCTTAGTGGACCCCACACCTTATAAGAGTGAGTACAAGGGGTATTATGGGATTATATCGAGGTCCTGTTATATTCATATCATACCACTAGTACAGGGTGGGGATCGTCGAGTCCTAACACAGACCACTTTATGGACAACACATGCACCTCGAGACCTGTTGCTGACAGCCCCGCATTCCTATGTGGAACTGTCCTAAACACAATCATTACGGCAGCCTTCAAGCTCGCATCACCCAAACAAACCCCTCAAACCTTTGACCCCAAGTACATAACCCTAAAATTGAAGGTTCCGGGTTGCAACCAAAACTGAAGGTCGTACTCTGGAACTTCAATGGTTCCCCCCATTGTGCACCAATGTAGACCCTTAAGCTTCCTAAAGGGATCCCACAACTCAGGCGTAGAACCTTAGGAGTACAATCTTGAAACCGATGGTTAGAACTCATGTGGGGGAGGGGGGCCTTGGGCGGGAAACCCCTAAGCCCTAAAACCTACACCGCGCCTCAAACTCATCGTCCCAATCCCCGTCATACTTCTCGGAGAAAGCACTCGAGCGCACTGTCAGCTGCGCCTGATTCAAGCATCTAACTCTAACCCAAAACCTCCTTGAAATTGGCAGGCTCCTGGGGGTTTCGGGGATATGCTCGGCTAACCCAAAACGGGAGGTCCTCAAAATTGGGAGGCTCCTGGGGGATCTGGGGATGTGCTCGGATGGCAAGAAGGTTGTGCGGGTTCCCTGTAGGGGCCGCTCTGGCCTCCCATATTGTACTACTTGGAGGGTCAGGGGGACTTAGTAAGTAGGTTAATAACCCAAATAAGCCGTAGAATAACCCCAAGTAATCCCATTATTAACCTACCTACTAAGTCCCCCCGACCCTCCTTGTGCTACCATGACTTGCGGTAGGATAAACAACAAGAAGAGTAAACTCGCCCACATGATGCTTTGGGCTTGCACTGAACCCTAATCCCTAGACCCTGAATCCTAGAACGTAGACCCTGAACTTCAAACCACTGAAGGAATAATAATCAACTCCCCCGACTAATAGACCACCACACCCCCCCCAGAAACAAGCCCCCCATATGTAGAAGAATGTCTACTATGACGTTATGAGAGTGGGTGGTGGGTTTAACATTCCCTCGAAGGGACTAAGTAGAAACTCTGCGTGGTTAAGGCCAAATCAATCGAATGCATCGGAACCATAAACCCTGAACATAAGGCCTAAACCCTAGAAACTGCGGGCCCTTAAGCCCAAAATCCTGCACCCCAAACGTTAACTTACTGATGCTTAGTAGGGAATATGGGAACATATCATATAGAGATTAGGGTTTAGGATTAGGGTAGGGAATAAGGAAATATAGTAGAGAGGGGTTATATAGGGATTGTATTCGCTTATTCCCTACTAACAACCAATAAGGCAAATCCTAGCTTGCAAGCTAACCCTGACCCCTACGCTCTCAAAACCAGTGAAGACCAGTACACACCAAGTAAGTATTATACCTTGACAGTTGACTTGCATTCTTCTTGCGATGGAATATTCCGTGCAAATCGGAAAGCCTAAAGCATGGACCGTAAACTCTTGCGCGCGCGGCACCTTACCCTAAACCCTAAATTTATCGGTTCATGGGTATGTAAGTTGGGCTATACAGGCCCTGACTGGAGCTCAAACCATCCAAACCCTAAACCATGAATCCTGCCCTAAACCCTAAACCCTAAACCCTGGATCCTTAACCCCAAGCCCTTCTACTCATCATCTATGAACGCAGAGGTTACCCCTGGCCCAAAGAGCCCGAGAGCTTTCAATTAAGGACTCTACCTAAATATACCTAAATCATATTCAAGGTGCTAGTATCACGTGAGGTATCTTCCTAAACCTGAACCCTAAACCCGAAACCCCAAGCCTGACTCTCTCTGGCGCTGTTTGCTTCGGGCGAATCAGGAGCTCCAGAATTTTCCGGATCTGCGAAAGGTTTAGGAAGATAGGGTTTAGGGTTTAGGGGGCCAAGTACTAGGGTTTAGGGTTTATTAGGGTTTAAACGCAATACCGGCAATACCCATATGAGACCAAGAAGCTTAGTATGATTTTAGGCCTATATTCCTTTGGTGGACCCCCACCCAGTCATAGTGACTTTAAGGAATAATGGTTGTTTTCTTTTATTCCTACCTTAGCACTTTTCAGGGTGGGGGAGTCCACCGAAATATCTTCTTTATTAACTAAAGTTTATTGGGCTCCCTGCTCTTGCTGCTTCTGAGCAGATGCTGAAGCTTGGTGTCTGCGGTTTCTCAAAACCTTAGTCGGCCTTTGGAGCCTTTTGAAACATGTTAGTATACAGGGTCCTTACAAAACAAACAGTACAGGAGAATTCTTCAAATATCCCTTGAAAGCCGACCCAGAAACTAAGTTCCCAAACTTGAACGACTGCTTCTATGGCAAGCATAGTGCCCAAGTTGCGGCATTTCCCCCCTACATGATCTGAAGACCATGAAGACCCCTGCCTGAGATGATCTAGGGTATGTGTTCAGTCATTGTTGTGAGGGGTATTGGGCTCCCCGGGCAGCTGTGCCTGATCAAGAGTGTGGGGCTTCTGGGATTAGGGCTTGCCATTCGAAAGGGCTCTCCCGACAAGGTGCGACGCAGCTTGCCGTTTTGGGGGGCTTATGCTCATATGTACCTGAACCCCAAGAGGGGGTAAAATAATAGCTCAAACCATCTAAATACAACCCGAACGGCCATTATTCTACGTACTTTTGGGGTTCAGGTAGCCTGCTGCTACATAGCGCGAATCACTGGGCCCGTGCGCCGTCAGCTACAAAGTACCAGCAGCAACTATATGTGTCAGTTTTACATGAATGTAAAAAGAACCTGTTTGAGGGTTCGTATACTAAGGACTATATGACTATATAAAATGAGGTTCCACATTGGGTTCCTCTTTTTTTGCATCTGGACTGCAGCGACTCATCCAGGTTGAACCCCTCCGCAGGCCCTTACAACACTTTAAGCGTCAAG